GTATTTTTATTAGATTTCAAAGTTTTTGAATTAGCAAATTAATCTAATATTTAGTTTGTAATATATAAAAATATTAAATTAAAAAAAAAATTTTTATATAAAATATTAAATATTTTTTTTTACTTATTTTTGCAGTTTTTTTAAGTATTTTAAAGATAAATTTTGAAAAAAACTTTTATTTTTTTTATAAATTTAAAATATTAAAAATATAGATTTTGGATTTTTTTTAAAAAAAATAATAATATTTATTATAAGTTTAAAGTATAAATTCTTATATTAAATATAAGGAATATGTTTTTTTCGTACCTGCAATCTCCCTTTTTTGGTAATTTTTATATATTAATTATGTTGATCATTTTTATCACATGACTTCGTTAAGATTTCCCATTTTTTAAAAAATCCTTGCATGAGACCTTATGCACTTACTATGTACTATAAGAAACCTTATACTATACGTATTTTTGACTGTTCTACAAGTTTTCTTAATATATCAAAAAGGATTTAGAATGTCATTTTTGACTTTTATATGTAACATATTATAGGGGTGCAACATAACGCAGGTGTAATAAAAAACAAAATCCTTAAATATATATATAAATATTTCTTATATTTTACTTTTTTCTTTAATTGTTTTTCCATTTTTCTTTTTCTTGGTATTTTTCATTACATTTTCTTTTTTTTATTTTATTACATCTTTTTTTATTATTATACTTTAATTATTTTAAATATACTAAAATAATCTATATAAGTGAAAATAAAATATATTTATTTATAAATTTATAAGAAGATGCTGATAAAAGTTATTTATAGATCATATAAAATTTTCAAAAGTTACTTATTTTAAAGGTATTTTTTAAAAAATTTTTTATTCTACATACTTCTGTTTTTAAATAATCTGTTAATTGAATTTAATGAATTATCTATTATTGGATTTGCTTTAATAAAAGGAATTTAATGATACTATTGACTACTATATAGTATTTTTAAAAGTAAATTAAAATTCAGATATTATTCACCATCTATGCCACTGGTAAAAAAATGATTTATCCTACACATATCTTACACATATTGGGTACTTAAAATGTAGAAAATCATACACAAATAATACACATATCATATACATATCGGGTACTAATATATATATCATACATATATCAGGTACCTGATAGGTATACTATATATATAAGTACCCGATATGTGTATGATATGTGTATTATTTGTGTATGATTTTCTACATTTTGAGTACCCGATATATGTAAGATATGTGTAGGATATGTGTAGGATAGACCATTTTTTTACCAGTGATGTTTAGTGATAAATAGTTATGATATGCACAATATACTATATAATATAATTTTGGCTGAAATTGTACTTCTGATAAAATTATGTCTTAATTTTGGCCAAAATATATAATGTGTATTATATATATAATGCACATAATATACATGCCACCCAAATTATTTTGAACTGCTATAATTATAAGTAAAATCCTAAATTCAATTATGATATCCCAAATTATTTTGGCATTTTACATAGTAAATTATATATAAATTGAATAAATTACAGCATCTCAAATTATAATTATAGTATTCCAAAATAATTTGGGCAGCATGTATAGCATATAATACGCATTATATGTATTATAAATCAAATTTTTCCATTTTGCCCATCTCTATCTATGCTACCTAGTTCTTAAATAATATTCCAAATATAACATCTAATAATTTACCACTTTTCATATAATTTATATTTAAATATAGTATCTAGTTTTTCATAAAATACCTGTGAATATTATTCAATTTAAAATATTGAGTTCTTGAATAAGACTCTAGGTATTATATGCAGTAATCAACAGTATTTACTATTAGCTAAGTTATTACAAATTAAAATTTAACTATATATATTTATTATTTAATTAGGTGAAAAATGTTTAGAATTCTCCTATAAATATCAGATTTTTTGCAGATTTACAATAAGTTAATTAGGAATTTTTTGAAGTAATATTATATTATATAAAAATTAAAATACAGTATATTAGAACTTACTTTTTAATTTTTAATAAATTTGTAAATATTAACGTTTCTATAATAAAATTAGTTGATTGTAAAATAGTATAGTATAATATGAAATGGTTTTATAGAATAGAGTATAATATATTTTTTAAAAAATCTTTTTATAGCAATACTAAAAGTAAGTTATTAGATATTTTATTAGTTAAAATAATATGAAACTATGTATGAATAGGAGCATAATATACTTACTTTATAAACCTATAAGTACTATTTTCTGTAATTTTACAGTAAGACTGATTTATTAAAAGTTTTTTGGAATAATATAATACATTATAAAGATTAAAGTATGTATGCTTATTTTTTAGTAAACTTGTAAACATCAGCTTTTACTACAAATTCTATAATAAGATATATAATCAACTATTATAGATAACCTCTAAGTTGATTTTTAAAAAATATACTAATCTTAAAAATAATTTTAGATTTAAAATATTTTTATATATAAAAAAAAAATAATTATACACTTTAATATTTTAAGTTAAAGAATTCAAATAATTTTGAATATAATTTAGCTATTAAATAAATTAAGTTGTTTATTATAGAAGATAATTTCAAATTTCAAGTTTTAACTTTACTATAAAAATCAATTTCAAAGCCATTTATACAGTCAATTTTCTATATAGTCATATCTTTTAGGACTAAAAAAATAATATAATTATAAAAATACTATATGGTATAACTAAAAAGTAGTTTTTTTAATAAGTTTATTAGTAGTTTGGGCTAATGTAAATATACTTATAGGGGAATGTGATTATATTTAGATAACTATAGAGGGGATCAACTATATTTTAAATGCAATTAATAATAATCATATGTAAATAAAATTGATGAAAAAAATAAGTGATATGATTTAAAAATATAGATATTTTTTGTTAGAAGTTATTATTTTTTGCCATAAATCTTGAGATTTGGATTGGAAGATAAATACATCAGATATAACCAGTTTTTCTACAATTTAAAAAGAAATCATATTACTCTTTCTTAAATGAATTCAAATAGAATTTCTAGAGGCTAATTATCATTAAAGTTAATATTTGCATTGCAAATTCTTTACATTGACCTAATGTATATAATATTTGAGTATATTTATTAGTGTAAATCAGATATTACACTTAAATTTGACTTTATGAAGGAATTATTAGTTATTAGTAGTTTTTAGGATAATAGTAGTATAATCCATAATAATAATCATACTAATGGCGCCTGTAGCAGTAAAGAGATTAGATTTAAAGCTACAAATTAGAAACACATATTACTTTATTTATATTGAGTAATTCTAAGTAATTGTATATATTAATAGTTTATTATCTTTTATTCTGAGAATATTTACTGTATTGAGCCCAAACTGTCAGAAAAAAAAAAAATTTTGAAAAAAAACATTAATTTATTAATGAACATTTTAATTAATAATATAAAATCTTTAACAACACATCTAAAATCTTTGAATATGCCATTATTCTTACAGTATATCTATTGATTATTTCCATATATTTTTTCTTTTTCATAGTCAAAATCAGATGTGATTATACAGTAGAAAGTTCATGTTTTCCCTTCCTATTTTCTAAAAATGCTTCAAAATATATCAAAGAAAATTTAAATGTTCAAAAAATCCAATTCCTCCTAGATTTATCGAAGAAGATCTAACCATTATTTTTAATAATTCTCAACATTCTTTTGTGTGATTCTTCTGTCTCATAAATTTATCTGATATAATAATATTTGATTAAAAGGCAATTTTTATAAATTGCGCCAATAAGAATAAGACAGCCTTAGTAAAAGTGATGTTTATCTTTAATAGTATAATAATTATTGATTAGAACCTTTCTGAGATAACCTCCGCTATTTTTAACTAAGCTACCGAATTTATACAAGTACAATTACCTAATTCAAGTATTTTAAGTAAAGGCCAAATTTACTAATTTTTCATAACAAATGTAGGATGAACGTTTTAGTGTTTTTAGATTTTTAGATTGAGTATTTTTTGGGGAAATGTATACTCAAATTCACCTTGAAAATTTGTAATAAAGTGAGCTATCACGTTCCAGGAAATTTTCAATATCATCATTCCACCCAAAATACTTATAAATTCTTTTGAACTTTATAATCAACTTTTAAGATTGTATTGATAATAATTATTTTTTCTATATTATTAGACACTTGCTAGCTCATAAAAATATTCAGGTTCAATTGACATGTCAAATTTTAATTCACAAAGTGAGTCGGACAAGTTTTGCTTTTGGAAGATGAAAGATTTGATATCAATCGTTCTCGTATCCTAATATTTTAATCTAGACATTTTCTCATAAAAAGACTGTAAATTTCCAAGTTTCAATAGCAATAATATCATATTGTTTTATCGGAAATTCTTTAGTGCTATCAGGTAAATAGTTAATAATAATATAATACATTGGCTTTCAAGGTCCTACACAAAAACTTTCACATTAATTTGTTTTACGCGGAAGTTAGTTGATAATTTTCTATTATTATGAAGAAAACTTCTAGATGGGATATGCCATCTATCAATCTAAATGTACATTATAATTTATGATTTATGACTAGACGAATTACAATAAGTATGAAATTTGATTTGACAAAACGTTTGTGTAGCTGCAAATCTGGTTTAATAACGAGAGATATTGTCGGCACAAATGTTTTTTATAAAGATCACAAAACTTTAAATATTAAAGTATTACGATTGAAGTTGGACAAGATCCTAAAACGAAGATACAGTCAACTCTCGTGCACCCGACCGGAAAAAAGCGTTCAATTACAGTATTTCGAGCTGACATGTTATTTTTTGATTATGAGATCATCATTATCATTATCATTCTATTACATATTTGGACTTATAAGAAGCATTTAACATTTTGTATTACTCATGCCTTTTGTGCAATGTATTAATAAGTTGAAATTAATTTTTACTTTCTTATATTCCCACGCACCTTGAATTTCATTTTTTCATAAATTTGAAGGAAAAAAATAATCATCGCTTTCATTATTTGTATATTCCCTGGTGGTTTCATCATCAGGCTTTGTTTGCAAAGCCTTTGTGTTACGTTACTTCTTCATCTTTGTTATATAATAGCATAGCTCGTTCCCTCTTATTTATTGTAAATAATGACAAATATAAATTCTATAAGTGAGCAAGATGATAATTCATCTCCACGAGGAAGATCTTTAGAAAATGATTTTAAACGAATAATAAATGATGAAAGATTTTATGATATTGCTTTAGAATGTTCGGATGGAACGGTTAATGGATGTAAAGTTATTTTAGCAACTCGTTCAGATGTTTTCCACTCATCCATTTTCAATGAATCAACAAAAAGTAATAACAAACTTTCATTTAATGATATTAATACAACAGCAATGAAAGTTATATTGGAATTTTTATATACATCTAAAGTTGAGAACTTAAAGGTTGATAATATCGTTGAAATTTATTATGCATCCGTTCATTTTGACTTGATTGACCTTCAAGATCATATTATCGAATTTATACAACCTTTGATTAATGAAAACGTAGATATTGGAAAAAAACTTTTATCAGAATGTGTTAGAAAGTTCTCCTTAGAAGTCGACAATAAAATGGTTCATATTTTAGTTCAGTGTGTGGCAAAGAATAAATTAGAAAAAAAGGATAGAGATTCATTATCATTAGAAGGTTTAAGATATCTTTTAAAAAAGACCTTTGATGTTCGCATTCCTTTTGCAACATCTGAATTTAATATTTGGGAATATTCTTTAATGAAAGCTATTAGAAAAGTTACACAAAGCAATCCACTCGTTGAAAAAATCTTGGATGATGGAAGTTTTTTTTCAACTTGTGAACCACAAGTAATTGAAGAAATAAAAAATCATATGACTACATTAATTGATTACATTAATTTAAACCGAATGGATGCAAAAGAAATCAAACATATTGAACTGTTTAATATTCATACAATTGAGAAACTCAAAGATGTTTATTGTTCAATAGCAGTAAATGAGGAATCAGGATTTATTCGTGGGATACCCGTTTTTAGGTGGAAAAATGATAATGTGGATAACATGGTTAATGTTTGTAATGATGGATTTACTGTTGAAACGGTTAAGCTATCTGCACCCGCATTGAGAGATTTTAGGGGTAGAGAAGTTACAGGCGTTGTCAGGCCATTTGTACAGCCTAAATCAATATTGGGAGATTTAGTGTTTAAGGGTAGAGGAGTTTATGAGTGGAATATTTCAATTGATAAGATGTATAAACATATCTATATCGGTATATGTGATATTAATGAGAATTTAAATAATGATTTCTCTTTCACTAATTTCCCTTTCAATTATCGACATGGATGGGTTCTTGGATCTGATGGTTATGTTTACCATCATAAAACACAAAAATGGTATGATGCAAAATTTAAAGAAGGGGATAAGGTTACTGTTCTCCTGGATATGAAAAACAGTACTTGTGCATTTTCTGTAAATAATATTAGGAAACTTATAGTTTCTGAATGGGAAATCCCTTCTCAAGTTTATCCTATTGTTTCCTTGGGACATGGTAGTAAAATCACAATCACGTATTAGGTTTACATGCTTTATCTAAAATTTTTTATGAGTTGTTTTACCATAAATATTTAAATTTTTCAATATCTTCAGTGCCTATATATAAAAATAAAAAAAAATACAACATAATTAGGATAGGTAGTTTGTTCTTGTTATTAAAGAGAAACAACTAATCATTTTTCTGTAGCTATGACTTTAAAAATACTAAAAATAAATTACGAATGTTGAACAAATCCGCCGAATTTCAATTACTTGCAAAGATTTAATGATATGAATATCGAGAGTTCAAGTGAATTTTTAAATTTAACCAATTAATTAGTTAATAAAAAAGTTTCTGAATAAATTAAAAAATTCGGTTTTTTAACAGTGAAGAGCCGCAAAGGAATAATTTAATCTGACTAAAAATTCATTATACAAAATTACATTAACAAAAGTCGCTATGATCACATAATTTGAAGTATATAAATATGTGTAATGCACGAAAAGTAACCGGGTATAATTTTGTATGAACTGTGAAGTATATAAATAATGTGTAATGCACGAAAAGTAACCAGAAGAAGCGGGTTTTCTTTATTTAAAGGGGCAAGAGTAAAAAAGTAAGGTTCATTCATTATGCAGTAGGCTTAAAATTCCGTGAAATATATTAAATATGACAAGATATAGTTTCTTTTAAAATTTTTATTAAAAGAACAAGGGAAGAAAGGCTAATGTTTTTTGCAGTTATATTATTATAAGCAAACCACTTCATTTAAGCACTATTATTTTCCACAGTGGCTCGACATGAGATATAAGGTATATTTTTACACTACTATTATAGTTTATCTTAACGTTATCTCTTCTTTAGGACACGGTAGTAAATTGCGAATTGAACTAGAAATTAGATTCAGCACCAGACACACCGCGTCCTTAATAAATTTATCGGATTGGCATGTATGATTTAAACTTTATACTGCTGATATTAATATAGTATTTATATTTAAAAGTTGGTTAATTAAATAATTTTGTACACTCATCAAATTCTTAGACCAGATGAATTACGTTAATAAGTTTAAATAGCGGCTTAAAAAAATTTGTCATGAGTCGATACGTTGATCATCTTTAAAGGGAGCAGCTAAAAATAACATATGATACAGATCAAAGATAATACGTTTTATTATCGCTTCCAAATAATCACGAACATAAATAGTTAGATCAGGTTCACAAAATCCAATTTTGAAAAACAAGACGGCGCACAGTTAGGGAATTTCCCATACTGTATATATATAGAAAATTGAAACAATTTTAAAAATTTTAAAAATTTTTAAATCATGAAAACTGAAAACCATTTTACAAATAATCAAGATAATTTTTCTCCAGGAGGAAGTTCTTTAGAAAAAGATTTTAGAAAACTCATTAATGATAAAAGATTTCACGATTTCGCCATAAAATGTTCAGATGGAAAACCGGTATATGGATGTAAAGCTATTTTAGCGACTCGTTCAGATGTTTTCGACAAATACATTTTCAACAAATCAGCAGAAAGCAAAAATAACTGTTCATTCAAAGATATTAATTCATCAGCAATGAAAGTTATATTGGAATTTTTATATACATCTAAAGTTGAAAGCTTAACTTTTAATAATGCCATTGAAGTTTATTATGCATCCATCCATTTTAAGTTGATTGAGCTTCAAGATCATATTATTGAATTTACAAAATCCTTGGTTAATGGGGACGTGGATATTGGCAGAAAACTTTTATCAGAATGTGTCGAAAAATTCACCCTAAAAGTGGATAATAAAATATCTCATATTTTAGTTGATTGGGTAGCCAAAAATAAATTGGAAAGAGATATAAATGATTCATTATCATTGAAAGGCTTAAGATATCTTTTAGAAAAAACTTTTAATACTAAAATTCCTTTTGCAACACCAGAATTTAATATTTGGGAATATTCTTTAACAAAAGCTATTAGAAAAGTTATGAAAAAAGAAACGCTTGTTAAGGAAATTTTGAATAAAAATTCTTTTTCAATATGTAATCCACAACAAATTGAAGAATTAAACCTTTGTTTAACTCCATTAATTAGTTACATTGACTTAAATCGAATGAATGCAAAAGAAATTAAACAACAGGTTGCACCATTTAATATTTATTCAGATAAAAAGATTAGTGACGTTTATTATTCCAAAGCATTAAATGAAGAACTAGAATTTATTCGTGGAGCACCGATTTTTAAGTGGAAAAATAATGGAATGAATAAACTTTTCAATGTTCCGAATAATGGATTTACTGTCACGGCTTTTATACAGGAATCGGTATTGGGAGATTTGATTTTTAAGGGTAAAGGAGTTTATGAGTGGAATATTTTAATTGAAAAGCTAAATAACAAAGTATACATCGGCATATGTGATATAAACGTGAGTTTAAATAAGAATGATCAAGGTTATCATGGATGGGTTCTTGGATCTGATGGTTACGTTTATCATGAGAAAAAATGGAAATGGTATGACGCAAAATTTAAAGAAGGGGATAAAGTTACCATTCATCTGAATATGAAAAATGGAACCTGTGCATTTTCTGTAAATAACATTAGGAAACCCACAGTTTCTGAATGGAATATATCTTCTCAAGTTTCTCCTATTGTTTCCTTAGGATATGGTAGTAAATTGCGAATTGAATAATATTATATATATTATTATTGAAAAAATGTATTTGTAACAGCCTGTTACATATCTTATTTGTAACATCCTTTTTTTATTTTTTTTTAATAATAAATTTAATATAATATGTGTTTCACAAATTCACAAATAAAATTTTATATGCAAAATTTAATTTGGAAAACTTTTACTTAATGTATTTAAGACAGTTTCATAGACAAAATTTTAAGTTATAAGCAGTTTCTTGAAATTTTTTAAAAAATTCTTTTGTCTTAGTTACACGACTGATCTTTTGGTTTTGTTTACATTACGCCTGATCTTAAATTTTAATTGGATAAAATTGGGGTTGTTACAAATAAGACGCGTAACAGGCTGATACAATTAGATTTATCCATTATTATTAATATCATAATATGATTACTTAATAAAAATAACTTCTGGTTTACTACAAAAGAACATGGTTTGATACGTAAGTGCCTCATGACATCATCTAAATGAGTTTTAAACCTTTTTCGCTTTAGAGCAAAAATATGTAAATCATTTAATACTTAATGTGATTTATCCAAAAATCAGAAATCTCACGCTATGCAAACATTAACAACAAAGAGATCAGGAGCGCCATTGCGATAATTACAAGACTTTTTACATTGTTTATAGTCACAAACATAATTAATTACACAAAATCTAATTTTTGAAAATCAAGACGTCGCATAATTAGCCGTATATAGTGTATAAATATATTCTGTAAATAAAAAATCAGTTTTGAATTTTTTTTTAAAAAAAAATGATAACTAATAATTCTTCCCCAAGAGGAAGATCTTTAGAAAAAGATTTTAAAAGACTAATTGATGATGAAAGATTTCACAATATTGCTATAAAATGTTCGGACGGAGAAACGATATATAGTTGTAAAGCTATTTTAGCGACTCGTTCAGATTTTTTTAACTCATGCATTTTCAATGAATCATTAGAGAGTAATAATAACCTTTTATTCAAAAATATTAATTCAGCAGCAATGAAAGTTTTATTGGAATTTTTGTATACATCTAATGTTGAAGGATTAATAACTGTTGATAATATAGTTGAAGTTTATTATGCATCCATACATTTTGATCTAATTGATCTTCAAGATCATATTATTGAATCTACAAGAAAATTTTCAATGGATAAAAATGTAGATGTTGGAAAAAAACTTTTATCAGAATGTGTTAAAAATTCTCCATAAACGTAGATAATAAAATGTCTCAAGTTTTAATCAATTGGGTGGCCAAGAATAAATTGGAAAATAGTGAAATTGATTCATTGTCTTTAAAAGGTTTAAAATATTTTCTAGAAAAAACTTATGATACTCAAATTCCTTTTGCGACACCAGAATTTAATATTTGGGAATATACTTTAGCAAAATTTATAAGAAAAGTTATACAAAACGAAACAATCATTGAGAGAATCTTGGATAAAAAATCTTTTTCAATGTGTGAACCACAAGAAATTGAAGGAATAAAAAATCATTCAACTCCGTTAATTAAGTTCATTAACTTAAAGCGAATGGACGGAGAAGAAATTGAACAACATGTTGAACCTTTCGGTACTTATCCGACTCAAGAGCTTAAAAAGAGTTATAGTTCCATATTAAATGGTAGAGAGTTAGGATTTATTCGTGGAGTACCTATTTTTAGGTGGAAAAATAACGGATCTAGTTTAAAGATATCTGTTGATGGATTCACCGTTGAAGGTAATGGTCTCGTAAAACCTAAATCGGTATTGGGAAATTTGATCTTTAAAGGTAAAGGCGTTTATGAGTGGAATATTTTAATTGAAAAGCTAAATAACAAAGTCTACATCGGCATATGTGATATTAATGTGAATTTAAATGAAAATGATAAAGTTTATCATGGATGGGTTCTTGGATCTGATGGTTACGCTTATCATGAGAAAAAATGGAAAAGGTGTTGTGCAAAATTTAAAGAAGGAAATAAGATTACTATTCATCTAGATATGAAAAACAAGACCTGTGCATTTTCTATAAATAATAATAAGAAATTTGTAGTTTCTGGATGGCAAAATATTCCTTCTCAAGTTTACCCTATTGCTTCCTTGGGACACACTAGTAAATTGCGAATCGAACCTAAAAATTAGTAAACTCTATCACTTAAATATTGCGTTATTACTTTTTTTTTATCAAAGAATTCTGCAATCGATCATGCCAATCGCTTATATTTTACGTGAATGTAGTATTAGCTGTACCTTAAGTATTGGCGGAAATTCATCGATTTAAGGGTCCAGTATATTACGTCATCATTTGTATATGACCATATGACGATCATTTTATATGATCACGTGACCACGAAATTGACGAGAAAACTCTTGGAAAAATAAAATATTTCCCAACCTACCATATGAATTTTATTAAATATACGTTCAAATAATAAATATAATGCATCCTATCTACATTTTAACCATTTATTAATATTTCTATATATTTTTATGGACAAAACTTAATGAAAATACCATTTGCTTGATTGATATTGTACATTAAAAATAAATAAATAATAACTCCACAAACGCCAAATATATAATTCAAGGTTATTAAATTAATTTATTTGCCTTTCCATTTCATTATAAAATTATAATAATCTAATTATTACTTCACAACACATGAAATATTTTGTATTTAGTTTAAAGGAACAAATACGCTTATTAAGATAATAAAAAAATAAAATGTTATTAGTAAAAATTTTTATTTGAATATGATGCTTGCTAATTTTTTGATATAAATTATTTAACTAATTACTATATTATTAAGTCTCAAAGTTTCGCAAGTTTTAAGTTAATTTAAAGTTAGTCTAATTAGAGAATTCGCAACTTACCTTAGAGAATTCGCAACTACTGTTAACTTCATATGGTAGTTTTTCGTTGTAAACTATATTTATACTATACTTTTTTAAAGTTTATTTGAAAAATCAGAAACTTTGGCTCTCTAACAGATATTTTTAAGCAGGAGTTTGAAAAATATTAAAAAATTTTTTCTTGTAACGAAAGTAAGAAAAAGATGATCTCCAATTTTTTGCCATATAGGGGATGACGTAATATACTGGACCCTTAAAGTCATACATGGACAAATTGTTGGTTTAACAAAGAATAATGAATCAATTCAGATGGTTATCTTTATAAGAGTTATATAAAGATTTGGATGCTAAGGACTTTTTTTATAATAATCGATCACGTGACGGTCGTGACATCGACATCATTTATGTTGATTTCAATGCTTTTTTTGTTAGCATATTAGCTTTTCCTGTAACGACATACTCTGTATTTTTCTTCAAATAATATACATAAACATTAACCGTCACGTTTATATAATCCACGAAGAAAGTGATTTAAATTAATTGACGATGATCGAGCTACAAATTTATCTTACTTCCAATATTAATCGTTTGATTTTTAACGAATGAAGACTCAGATATCGGTAGATCGGTTTACGGTAACCATTATTTTTTTCCTTTTCTGATTTCTGGTAACACCTAGACAAATCCTGAATATATTCCGGACAATACATTTATATGGAGATAAGGAAATGATAATTTTTACTTGTAAAAATGTAATATGCATTCTACTAGCCAATTAGAATCATCCAGAAATTTATTCTTTGACAAAGAAAAATTCTAACTTAAATTAGTTAGACCAGGGAATATTCTAGCCAAATTTTTGGGGAAATTTTACGCCATATTCAAATTTTTTTTTTTTCTTTCATCGTTCGATTAAAATTGTATAATGAAAATTAAAACCGATGCAAATTATAATTCTCCGCGAGGAAGATCTTTAGAAGATGATCTTAGACTATTAATTGATGATGAAAGATTTTATGACATTGCTTTAAAATGTTCAGATGGAGTAACTATATATGGGTGTAAAGCTATTTTAGCAACTCGTTCCGATGTTTTCAGCGCATATATTTTCAATGAATCAGTAGAGAAGAATAATAATCTTTCATTCAATGATATTAATTCAACAGCTATGAAAGTTATATTAGAATTTTTATATACATCTAAATTTGATAGTTTAAATGTTGATAATATTATTGAATCCTATTTCGCATCAATTCTTTTTGATTTGATAGATCTTCAAGAACATATTATAGAATTTACAATAAAATTATCTTTGATGAATGAAAATGAAGATGTTGGTAAAAAGTTATTATCAGAATGCGTTAAAAAATTCTCTTTAGAAGCCGACAATAAAATGTCTCGAGTTTTAATTTATTGGGTAGCAAAAAATAAATTAGAAAAAAATGAAATTGATTCATTATCATTAGAAGGTTTAAGATATCTTTTAGAAAAAACTTTTGATACTCAAATTCCGTTTGCAACACCAGAATTTAATATTTGGGAATATTCTTTAATAAAAGCTATTAGAAAAGTTATACAAAACGCTCATTGACAAAATTTTGGATAAAAGTTCTTTTTCAACTTGTGAACCACAAGAAGTTGAAGAAATAAAAAATCATTTGGCACCAATAATCAGTTATATTGACTTAAATCGAATGGATACAAAAGAAATTAAACAACATGTTGAACCTTTTGGTATTTTTTCAGCTATAGATATTAGTAATGTTTATTGTTCCAAAGCACTAGATGAAGAATTAGAATTTATTCGTGGAATACCTATATTTAAGTGGATAAACTATAAATCAAGTACATCAGATAATCAAATAATTATAACTAATGGTGGATTTGTTGCCGAAGTAATACAACCTAAATCAATATTGGGAGATTTGATTTTTAAGAGTAATAAAAGTAATGGAATTTATGAATGGGATATTTCGATTGAAAAATTATGCGGAAATATCTATATCGGTATATGTGACGTTAATGAGGATTTGGATAAAACTGATCAAAAATATCATGGATGGGTTCTTGGATCTGATGGTTATGTTTATTATAAGAAAAAATGGAAATGGTATGATGCAAAATTTAAAGAAGGAGATAAGGTTACTGTTCATTTAGATATGAAAAACAGAAGATGTGCCTTTTCTATAAATAATAATAAGAAATCTGTGATTTCTGAATGGAATAATATTCCTTCTCAAGTTTATCCTATTGTTTCCTTGGAATGTGGTAGTAAATTGCGAATGGGACCTCAAATAATTTCCATGGATCTGTTAAAAGAAATGATAACGACGTAAATTAAATTAAGTTTATGTGTAGTATGTAAATTTCTATTTTTATTTTATTAGAAAATAGTGGTTTATTATTTATTATATCATAAATGATTTGTGCACTTTATAATAGTGCGACCGCCGTCCGTTCAAAATTATACAATTTTAACTATTTTATGAAATAAAGTTTCATATTATTAATCTCACTAAATAATCTGTTTGGCCATTTTCTATTTTAAAATTTCTTTCACAGTTTTACCAATGATGGTAATATTTATTGTAAAGATAACTAACTTTTATTGATTAGACCAGATGCATGATTGGCTTCATTGCGAGAAAACCACTTGTATGTTACACAATATCAAGCAAACCAAACAAATAGAATAAAATGGCGGTAGAATTCAAAAAAAAAATTTTTGCTTCCAAAATTCTATTTAATAAACATTTTCTTTAGCGACATATTTTCTTACAATGCAAACTGAAAAAGATCAATTACCACGAGGAAGATCTTTAGAAAATGATTTTGGACGATTAATGAATGATGAAAAATTTCACGATATTACCTTAAATTGTTCGGATGGAACGATACATGGATGTAAAGTTATTTTAGCAGCTCGTTCTGACGTTTTCAACTCATCCATTTTCAATGAATCAACAAAAATTAATAACAATCTTTCATTTAATGATATTAGTTCAACAGCTATGAAAGTTATATTGGAATTTTTATATACATCTAAAGTTGAAAACTTAAATGTTGATAATATCGTTGAAGTTTATTATGCGTCCGTTCATTTTGACTTGATTGACCTTCAAGATCATATTATTAAATTTACGAAATCTTTGATAAATGGAAACGTGGATGTCGGTAGAAAACTTTTATCAGAATATGTTGAAAATTTTTCATTAAGAGCGGAAGACAATGAAATGTCTCGAATATTAATTAATTGGGTTGCTAAGAATAAATTGGAAAAAAGTGAAATTGATTCATTATCATTAGAAGGTTTAAAATATCTTTTAGATAAAACTTTTGATACTCAAATTCCTTTCGCGACACCCGAATTCAATATTTGGGAATATACTTTAGTAAAAGTTATAAGAAAGGTCATACAAAACAAAACTCTCGTTGAAAAAATCTTAAATGAAAGATCTCTTTCAATATGCGATACAAAAGAAATTGAAAATGTAAAAAATCTTTTAACTCCATTGATTGGTTATATCAATTTAAATCGAATGGATGTAGAAGAAATCAAACAACATGTTGAACCTTTCAATATTCATACAATTGATAAGTTCAAAGATGTTTATCGCTCTAAAGCAATGAATGAAGAATTAGGATTTATTCGCGGAGTACCAATTTTTAAGTGGAGGAATAATAAAGTAGATAAACAATTAATTACATCTGATGATGAATACACTGTAAAGGCAGTTTGGAAAATTGAGTTTGCGTCAGTGTTGGAAGATTTGGTTACACTTACACATCACAAAATTATATTAGGAGATTTGATTTTTAAAGGTGAGGGAATTTATGAATGGGATCTTTTGATTCGAAAATTATGTGGAAACATCTATATCGGTATATGTGATATTAATGAGGATTTGACTAAAACAACATCTGACCAAAGATACCATGGATGGGTTCTTGGATCTGATGGTTATGTCTATTATAAGAACGAATGGAAATGGTATAATGCAAAATTTAAAGAAGGAGATAAGGTCACTGTTCATCTAGACATGAAAAACAAAAAATGTGCATTTTCAGTAAATAACATTAAGAAACCCATAGTTTCCGAATGGAAAAAGATTCCTTCTCATGTTTATCCTATCGCCTCCTTGGGAGTTGGTAGTGAATTACGTATAGAACCCCATGTGAATAAGAACTAATATGGAGTATATTTTTTTCTTGTTTATTTTAAAGTATTTTTTTTTTTAAAGAAAGAAAACAAACAATAAAAATAATATCTTTTTCTGCTGCAAGTCTGTTATTGCGAATCTGTAATTGAAAGCGTTAAAATTTATAATTGGTTTAGAGGTGCAGATATTGAAACATTTGAAACGTTAACTTTTTTAACGTCAACGTCAGTGGCGTCACATTGCTATGTGGCTTCGTAAAATAGCTTTTTGCCGTAGACTTCATAAGCTTTTGACTAAGCTCTTGATATGGAATGCCTTAGATTTTTAAACTTCGACATGTAATTATAGAATTGGTACACATGCACTTGTGTGTTTTCAAGTTTAGGTTTTTTTTTACGTACTACCATAATGATAAAAAACAGAAATGTCAGCTAACATAACCACTAAACTTCCTATTACTCCATAAAAACAAATATAAATATTAAACTAATGCTAAGAGAGAGTGTCGATCCAATTAATTTAATTAATCCAAAGGAGATAAATAGTACTGTTAATTACACAGTGAAATCCGATATAACGGAACCCCAATAAACCGGAACTGGCCTTATACCGGAACTTTTTTCCGGAACCTAATCACATATATTAAAATAAGTTTGATATAACGGAATTTATTAGTAAAATCTCGATAATAGCTATAAGCCTATAACGGAACAAATAACAGAACGGTTATAATAAAAATGGTTCGATATACCGGAACACGTGACGATTCACAATTTTAAACCAATAAAATTACAGTATTTTCACGTGATACAGATAATCTCATTTTTTTTGAGCAACATGATAATTTTTTTTTATAAAAAATTATTTCGGATAGTAAGAAAAAGCAAAATTTTTTTAAGTTTTGGTAAATTTCAGTGTATAAAATTTCTCAAATAATGTTTTAAATAAAAATAATCTAAATTTTCAATGTTCGTCGCACATGTCGCACAAATAAAAACTTGATATAACGGAATTTCATGTGATTTATATATAAAATCCGGTATATCGAAATTTTTTAAATTTTTTGATATATCGGAAGTCTCGATATACCGGATATTTTTACTGGAACGGATGGTTCCGTTATATCGAATTTCACTGTGTATAAGGGTAGTAATTGTAATAAAGGAAAATGGAATTTAATTTTTAATACATAAAAAAATAAATAATAATTTTCGAACTTGTTAAAGAATATTTATATTTTGATATGTTAAGCCAGTGATGTGCATTGGAAGATTGGAAGCTCCAAGCCTTCCAATGCCAATAAATTTTTTGGAAGCTTCCAATGCACATAGAAATATATATTCGTATATATAAAAACTAATGTATTGAAAATTATTGGAATCTTGGAATCTTCCAATTCTTCCAATTCCAAGCCTTCCAATTCCAATAAAAATTCATTATGCACATCACTGCGTATGAATTTACTTCAACAACGTAACACAATATGGTTCTTTTGCGGTCGAAATGTTCAGAACTGTAGTCGATTAATACAGTAATACATAACTAATAAAGATTGGGTCCGACTTCACCAGAAACATGGCTCGATTGGCTAATCTTTATTTAACATATCCATGTATTTTGTAGTTTGTATCTGTCACAGGCTTTCAAGAATAATTACGTGTATATTTTGTATATTAATTATTACTCGAAAAGTACAAGTTTGTCGCACAAACACACTGTTACGCGATCTTGAAAGTGTTACATCTTACATAATGATGATCATAAAAAGTGATGTTTGTGACAGGGAAAACAGGGGTTAGCGCAAATTTTACTAATTCAGTACAGTTAATCGTCTTTACCACAGTTCTAGACTTTTAACATGAAACTTTTGTTCTACCAAATTAATAAACAAATATAATTCCTAAATTTTTATTTTATTAAAATAATTATCCATTATCCTTCTCTGTATAATATACATAAATGTAACGCTCCTTCGCATAATAGTATCTAATAATAAGTATGATCTACGCGGAAAAATATTTCTTTTTTTATTTATTGCACGAAGTATGCAGGGGATTTATTGGGTTTTGTTCATATAAAAATTAAATTTTCTTTTTTTCGATATTTATTATTTTACATTTATGAAACAAAATAATTAATCATTCTTTATTATATTCTAGTATTAATTTGATATTTGGATTGAATGTAATGTCTATTTTAATACTGAAAGGACAAACAAAAAGAAACAATCGAAGTTAGAAATCTTAATACGAGCGAAAATAAAAAAAAAATAAAGAAATTGAAATTTGCGTTGTCAACGAACAGGTCTCCCTCCAACAATGATTCATGTATACGACTTTATAACGTGTATACTTGATGTTTAAAGAAAGCACCGAGCAAGATCTGTTTGTTCTACTCAGATAATTATGTGGCTATTCGTGTTTGTGCCTAGATTGTACGTATTTGTGTAACCTTATTTTTTTTTATTTTGTAATACAAATATCCTAATTACTTAATAGTTAATCGTCCATTTTTTCTTATTCTGTTGTATCAAAGAATGAGTTCAAGACTACCAAACGAATGTTACCAACAAATTTTTAGTAATGTACAAGATACTAAAACGCTATTCTCCATTATTCAAGTAAATCATACATGGTGTGAAAATGCTATTATCTTTTTATGGAAAAATCCGTTTCGTAAAGAAATTGATTATAATCATACAAAAATCATTCCCGTTTTACTTTCGTTCTTAAAAAAGGATAAAAATACTTTCTTTGATTATCCTAGTTTTATTACTCATTTAGATTTTGATAATCTTTTCAGGATCACTTCGAAGTTTTACGATAATAATGAAAATGAAGTTGAATACTTTATGGGTTTAATGGAACAAGATGATACATTACCTTCAATATTTTCTAAATTAGAATATGATAAGTGGCCAGGATTCGGACAAATTTGGGTTATTATTTTATTAATTTTAGTGAATATGGCAAGGAGAAGAGCAAACATTCAATGGTTTAAATTTGATATAAGATATAACGACATTAAAGGATTTCTCAGTAACAATGGAAAAGAAAATGATGATGTGGAATATTTTTACGTGGATGATGAGAGAATAGTTGGATCAAATGTTGAAATGAGATATAATATAGTTAATAAGATTGAAAATATCATCACAACCTTTTTAAACTTGGATGATTTTAATGAATCAAAAAATTTTTTTGAAAATTTAGAATATTTGGAACTTGATCGTTCAAGTTTCAAGGTTGCAATTTTGGAAGCATTTTCGATGTGTAAGAATTTAAAAACAGTTGAAATTGAACATCCTTTTTTTCAATTGATTTTAAGGCCGTTGGTATCTTTAATCAAAAATCAGAATAATTTGGAAAATATAATCATTTATGGAGTTCATAATGCGTATATGGCTGATTATCATGATGCTATATTTGAAATAATTTCATCATTAAATACCGCTGCTCATTCACTCAAGAGAATTGAAATATGTGGAATAAAAATGATGAATGATGAGACATTTAAATTTATTGGTAATTGTAAAAATCTAGAAGTTTTAAAATTAGAAGATTCATATGTTTCAATTAAGAATTTTGAATGGATTGCTTTAGCGGAATTCTCAAAATTACGCTCTTTGGAATTAGTTTATAATTGGAGCAACAAGGAATATGTCAGTCAATTTAATCCAATTCAAATGATTTTACAAAACAAGAGTATATCGCTAAATTTAAAAAGTCTTCATCTCCTAAATACTTACATTAAAAATCACAACTTATTAAAATCAATTAGTGAAAATTGTAGAAATTTGATTAATTTCACAACACAATTAACAGCAGATGATGATATAAAATATTTATTTAATATTCTTGGAAATAATCCAAATATTAAAGAGTTTCAATTATTAAATCCAGGATATCCAATGAATCTTAGTACTGGATTTATTATTGATTTAGTGAAGGCTTTTCCCAAGAAAACAGATTACATACGACTTGTACACATAGTTAATAATCTTGATGAATTTAGAAAGTTTTTAGAAAATTGTATGGTGGATTTAAAATTTTTATACGTTGTTGTTTCAACTAATAATGATATTAATGAATTTGGAGAATGTGTGAAAAGATGGTCGGAAGAAAGAAAAAAGAAAATAAAAAAATTGGATATATTTTCCATTCCTTCTGATAAAAAAATTCTTGTTAGATGGGAATAATTGATTTGGTGAGTCTATTATTTTCTTTTTTACATCATTTTCTGATTTATGAAATTTTGTATTAATTATTACTTCTTTAACATGTTACAACTTGTAGCAATGAAATTGAAATGGACTTTTTTTTTTGAAATAATAATTAGAGATTTTTTACTAGTTAAAGAAAGCATTGTTTGTATTCGTGATCCCGTTAATAATGTAGAAATCTATGAATTTCCGGTGTCCTAATAAAATAATTCTTGTTACAAGAATGCAAGAAAATTTCCAACAAAGCTAACGTTATCCCGTGAAATCATGATCACAAAGAAAATTGTGTTTTTTTCTTTTGCACTTTCTTTAGATTCCATAGCTAAGTTGTGCGTACATACCATGATATCGCAAAAAATTTCGGAGGACTCAAAATTTTACAGGTAAATTATTTTCTAAACTAATATATGAAGGAATATATTTCATATGTAATAGAGATTAGAGATAGAAGATAGGTGATGATAAAGACGAAAATGACACGATTTGTTCAGTTTTGTCAATTAAGTTATGGAGGTTATACCATCTAAACCAAAGGCAGTATTACAAAATTTCTTTGCATTCGCACTAATCATTCGCTGTATTATAAATTATCCAATTCTCCAGACCTGCTTGGCTGATTTACTTTAGATTTTGTCCTGTACCCGAGGTAAAAAGCCGCGTAATCATTTAGTAAATCAGAGGTAATTTCTCTATCTCAGTGTAAACACTGTCATGTTATTTAAGTCTTAGGACTTAGGGTTCACTCTTAGAGATCTTTCTTTATTTAGGTTTATTGGCAACTCGCTCTTTATAAACATCATTTGGCTTTATTTAATGCTTTCTTAATTAGTAGTTCTTCCTTGATAATCACCATTTTCTGTGCCAAGTAAATGTTATTCATCATTTTCTTTTTTTCTTTTTTTTTGAATATTCGGTCGTTTAACTATCTTTCACTTAACTATTCTTTAAATTAACCAGGACTATTTATTCAAGCAATTATTTTTATGCAACTTTCGCATGCTGTCGAATTTTCCTTCATCGCAGAGTAATAAAAAATAATTCACGTAGTATTTATGAATTTCTAAACGTATAACCATATTTCACTTAACAAGATCAATCTCTTTTTCTCTTGATAGTGAAGACAAAAAGAGCAATGGTTTTGCTGAAAAGATCGTGTGGAAATCTATTTTAATCTAATGTGGAGTTTCTTCTCGACAAATTAAACTCCTCGAAATAAAGTATTACGATAAATAGAAATTGATAATATACTTGTGGCGTAGCATATATTTACACGACCTCACGTGCAGCTGCATAATTATTTCCAAAAAGGTTAATAAATTTTGACGCCCCAAAAAAAAAACCACCTACTCAATTACTGAAATTATGGGTCAAATTTTCTCTTCAGAAGAGGAAACTTCATTACAAAGTGATTTAAGACAACTAATTAATGATGAAAGATTTTATGATATTACGTTAGAATGTTCAGATAAAGAAAGAATATTTGGATGTAAAGGTATTTTAGCAACACGTTCAGAAATTTTCAACGAACTCATTTTTACCGGATTAGAAAAAAAGATTCTTTCATTTAATAATATTAATTCAAATTCTATGAAAGTAATTTTGGAATATTTATATGTATCTGAAGTTAAAAAAGAAAATTTAACTGTTAATAATATTATTGAAGTATATCATGCGTCAATTCATTTTGGATTGATAGAATTTCAATCACATATAATTAATCAAGTTATGGAGTTTTTAAAGTCTGAAAATGAAGATACTGGTAAAAAGCTTTTATCAGAGTGTGTTAATAAATTCTCCCCAGAAGAAGTGGACAATGAAATGTCTCGAATTTTAGTCGATTGGGTAGCCATGAACAGATTGGAAAAGTGTGTAGATGATTCATTATCATGTGAAGGACTAAAGTATTTTTTAATAAAAACTTTCGACACTCAAAAACCTTTTGCAACGCCAGAAATTGAAATTTGGGAATATATTTTAGCGAGAGCTAAAAATGGAGCGTATAATCAACAGGGGGTTCAAAAATATTTAAATCCATTAGCTGATTATATTAACTTAAATCGAATGGATGCAGAAGAAATTAAACAACGTATTGAACCTTTTAATATTTATTCAGATAAAAAACTCAAAGAAGTTTATTTTTCCATGGCTGTTGATAAAGGATTAGGATTTATTCGTGGAGTACCTATTTTTAAGTGGAAAAATAGCGGCGGATTTGGTTTAAAAGTTTTTGATGGTGGATTTACTGTTGAAGCCCATGAGTTAATACAACCTAAATCAATATTAGGAGATTTAATCTTTAAAGGTAGAGGAGTTTATGAATGGAATATTTTAGTTGAAAAGTTGTGTAATACAATTTATATTGGCATATGCAATAATATTAATGTGAATTTTAAAAAAAATGATCAAGATTATCATGGATGGGTTCTTGGATCCGATGGTTACGTTTATCATGAGAAAAATTATAAATGGTATGATGCAAAATTTAAAGAAGGGGACAAGGTTACAGTTCGTCTGGATATGAAAAACAGAACTTGCGCATTTTCTGTAAATGATATTAGGAAACTTATAGTTTCTGAATGGAAAAACATCCCTTCTCAAGTTTGCCCTATTGCATCCTTAGGACATGGTAGTAAATTGCGTGTGAAACAAGAATTAATTAAATTTTGTTAACCTTAATGATAAACGTTCCTTTAATTTAATATATATTGTAATTACTTATAATCATAATTGATTAAATAAATATTTATTAATTATTTTATATCTGAAAATCCTTTTCATAATATTAACTAGCTTGCAATAGTACGACCGTCTTAATATAAGATATATCTGATGAACTACTATTTTTTAGAATTTCATGTTTCCCATTGTTGTTTTATATTTCAAAACTATTAGTAAAGTTAATTTCTTTATTATTACTTTCTTAGGTTGGAATTTAGTAGAAAGTGAAAATGATTCAAATGAAGGTTAAAAAAAATATTTGTCTTTACGTTATAGATTTCTGCCGGACTGCCGGCAGATTAAAGACGAAGCTATTAAAGATAACGTCCGGTACATTTTCCGAGCATTTGGACAAGCATTTTAAATCACGTGTAGAAGATTTTCCAAAACGATAGTGTTACAAGTGTTACAACCATAAAAAATTAACGCCCAAAAGAAAAAAAAAAATATCTTTTTTCCAGTTCTATACCAATATTATGGGTCAAACATTCTCATCTTCAGAAAAAGAAACATTATTAGAAAAAGATTTAAGACGATTAATGAACGATGAAAGATTTCATGACATTGCTTTAAAATGTTCAGATGGAAAAATCGTATTTGGGTACAAACCTATTTTAGCAACACGTTCCAAAATTTTCAACGAACTTATTTTCACCGAGTCAAAAGACAATATTCTTTCATTTAATAATGTTAATTCAAATGCTATGAAAGTTGTTTTAGAATATCTATATACATCTAAAATTAGAGAAGAAAATTTAAATGTTGATAATTTTATTGAAGTTTATTACGCAGCTGCTCATTTTAAATTGTCATTTCAGCCGGAAATGTATATTGCAATTTTATCATTTTTGAAAGATGGAAATGAAGATACCGGTAAAAAACTATTATCTGATCTTGTAAATAAATTCTCCTTAACAATAGATGATATGGATGATGATGTACTTAGATATTTAGTATGCTGGGTAGCCAAGGACAGATTGAAAAAAAACGAAATTGATTCATTATCAATAGAAGGGTTAAGGTATCTTTTAATGAAAACTATTGATACTAAAGAGTCTTTTGCAACACCAGAAATTGAAATATGGGAATATGCTTTAACGAAAGCAAAGACATATGGTCAACAGGAGGTTCAAAAATATTTAATTCCACTCGCTCGTTACATTAATTTAAATCGAATGGATCCAGAAGAAATTAAAACACATGTTGAACCATATAATATTTATTCGAATGAAGATATCAAAAATACATATTTTTCCATATCATCGGGTAAAGGATTAGGATTTATTCGAGGAGTACCTATTTTTAAATGGAAAAATGATAAACCAGATTTAATTGTTTCTGATTATGGATTTACCGTTGAAGCCAATAATACACAGTCTAAATCAATATTAGGAGATTTAGTCTTTAAAGGTAGAGGAGTTTACGAATGGAATATTTCAGTTAAAAAGTTGCGTAAAACAATCTATATTGGCGTATGCAATATTAATGTGGATTTAAATAAAAATGATCAAGATTATCATGGATGGGTTCTTGGATCCGATGGTTACGTTTATCATGAAAAAAAATATAAATGGTATGATGCAAAATTTAAAGAAGGGGATAAGGTTACTGTTCATCTGGATATGAAATACAGAACTTGTGCCTTTTCTATAAATGATAATAAGAAACCTTTAGTTTCTAAATGGAACATCCCTTCTCAAGTTTATCCTATTGTTTCCTTGGGACATGGTAGTAAATTGGGAATAGAGGTACAAGGGTTTTGTGATTGATACAATTCGTATATATTTATTATTTGGGAGAGGGTACAAATTTAATTTCGTGAGGGAAATATAATCGAAATGGCCCAGTATCGCTTTAAAATACATGATATATTACTTTTATTTAACAAGTTACTCAAAGAATCCATACTTTTTATTTTTATTATTTTTTTTATGTTGGTAAGAATTGTAAAGTTTTTTTTAGAAAACAAACCCTGCTAAGTGGTTTCGCTATTAGTAATTGGTGTGATTATAAATCCAATAAATTATCGATAGTTTTATCATTACATCATGTAATTTTAGCGACAAAATTTTCTCTCCATTATTTCTTCTATATTTCCCATTCTTTTTTTTTTATTATTATATTTAAACAGAAATAAAAGCTAGAATTTAAAAAATTAATACTATGTTCCCCGAAAAATACTTAAATTGGTAACGTCCCAAGTTTGCTTTAAAAAATGCGAATTACAGAGGTAGTTTTAAAAAATATACAAATTACAGGATTGATCATTGATGTCTCGGCATTCTGCCCGTCTCAATAAGGAATCGAATGGTGTTAAATTCATTAATCGATGCAATATTGACCGTATTATAATTAAAAATGTAAAAAATTTTCGGAGTATTTTACCTATCTTATAAATTTTCGGTCCTAACATCCTAACAAGATAGAGAAAAGATTAGAGTACTAAAAAGGATTCCGGACATAACTGCGTAACTAAATTAGATCATCCTCAGCCAGGTTTTAGAATTCTCATACTTTAATTAATTAGGGATAATGCTGAATTGATGTAGGGCAACTAATAAGGAAAATGAAATAAAGTTTTTCTCACGTAAAAACAGCGAGTAAAAAAAAACATGCTGTGGATAAAAATTAGAACAATGAATTCACGAGAAGCGACACGTTCTAATATTAATATTTTACAAATTCATTATCATTAGATATATATATAATTCACTGTTATCTTGTTGAATTCATCGGCACCTTTTTCGACCATGATGAGCGATGCAAACGCTTTCTTATGTTGTTGATACAAGAAGAATAAATAAATGACCCTTTCTCATACATTCCATTATCTTGACATATGCATCTTTTTAAGGATTAATGCTCTCTGGATACGTCTGGATGGGATGCTAGTATAGGAATGTTTTATGCACGCATAAAATATAAAGCTACTGCTTCCAGATATATATATAAAATATTTATTAGGAAAGAACTTTTGATACTAAAAAATATTTTGCAACACCAGAAATTGGAATGTGGGAATTGTGCCTACCTTAATGCAAGCTAAAAAAGAATATGTAAAAGAAACCGAAGGGATTCGAAAATATTTAACTCCATTCATTCATTATGTTAATTTAAATCGAATGGGTCAGAAGAAATTAAAAAATGAGGGATTAAAATTTATTCGCGAAGTACTTATAGTGTACTTATGTTTAAGAGGAAAGACGCTATTAATTTAAATGCTCTAATGGTGGATTTACCGTCGAAGTCATAGTTTACGAGTGAAACATTTTAATTGAGAAGTTATGTAAAAATGTACAATCAACCTCATAAATGCATTCCCTGTAAGTGTATTTCCTTTTTAAATGCATGCATTTGCGTTTTTGCCCAGCACAAGTTTATATGATTTCTTTTGAATGCGTGATTTTTATGGTTCCGAGGCATTTATAGAGAATTTTTGATATTGACGAGAATTAAATTCTAAGATGGTGGCTGTTTTTATCATGAGATAAAATGAAAAGTGACATGATGCAAAATTTTAAAGAGTTAAGATCAGTAATAGCGAGAAAATTTACTGAATTTGAAATTAGCAACATCACAAGGATTTCCTAAAAAATATGGTTCATTTGGATATGGATAAAGACGTGTATTTTCTATTAACAGGGAAGTCAATATTTTCTGAAACAAAAAAATATTCTTCTCAAAGTTTATCCTATTGTTCCCTTGGAAATTCATTTAGCTTACCAAGTCACGATGAGCAATTTTAACGGAATGTAAATAATTTAGTCCTTTTGCTATATATCTAAAGAAAGGTTTAACTTAACATCCCATTCAAACATTGCATATAGAATCATACATTATTCCTGGCGGGTTAAGAGTAGAGTTGACACCGCAACTAGGCCTTACTAATCGCAATCCGCAACCCGCAACCCGCAACTCTAAGTTTTATTATATAGCCATAATTTCGCAACTATTTAAAAATCAGTTGAGGTGTCAACCTTAATTAAAAGCCTTTATAATTAATATATACATTATTTTATATGTTGTTATAATCAAAGAAAAAAAATAATAATTTTTAAATTTTGTCTAATGAAAAGATTTATTTTATTTAAATAAGGTTATACAAAAAGATTTTATACTGAATTACTGATTATCTTAAGATTTTGAAATTTATTATCTGATTATGCAATTTACGATTATTTTAGGAACGCCGCCACGATCATCTACTTCCTCTTCCAAATATTCCCACATGCCAAAATTACTACATCTAGGATGAATAGTTGTATCTTTCATCAACATAAGATCACTCTCAAAACTTGTCGTGTCGTAGATAAACCGATAAAAAAACGTCTAAACAGTACACGTTATTAGTTCATATACGAAATGTGTCACATATATTTTCTAAGTCCAAACTCAAGTACTCAGCTGATTTACGCCTAAACAGCCACGTTGATAACTATCTCCAAGATTTTCTTTTATAAAGTCCAAATAACACTCAAACAGTTCCGCCTAAATGGACATCTCAACCTTCGTTTTCGTTAACAGACGATTATCTCGTTTTCTTGCTTTTAAACAGTTCATAATTCATCGTCTAAACAGTCACGTTGATAATTATCTCCAAAATTTTCTTTTAAACCTGACAGTTCCATTGTTAATTTTATGCAGATGATACAGAATGTGACGATATTTTTTTCGTACTCAATCGATTTGACGTCTAAACAACTATGTTGCTAGTTCCTAAATATTTTCTTTTTTAAAATTCTTTTTTTTTTTTTGAAGCTCGTTTAATGATATGAAACTGTATTTTAAGGATTCTTCTCGCTGAAATCAGATAATAAAAAGGCAATTAGTATTAATTAATATATGATGACCTTAATTGATGAAATTAAAACGACTATTTTAGTTAACTTTACCTTCATCACAAAGTAATATATTCCTTGTAACAATTTGAAGTTGAGATTATGATCATAAATTTTATATTAAATTAGATATATAAATCACTATTATTATTATGATGAATTTTTTTTTGATATTATTTCTATAAAAATTTTATTGTTGGATAATAATGTAATTTGAATACAATCAAATATAAAAAATGTGTATATATATATTCTAAGATGTTTTAATTAAGCCTTTGAAAAAAATATAGAAATCACTAATAAGGAGAAGTAATATTATAAATAATATGTTTTTTGAAAAAAATCTAAATCTTTTTTTTTTTTTTTTTTTTTTTAAAAAAAAAAAAAAAAAAGTGAGGAAGAAGGAATTCTTAATAAAATAAAAATATCTATAGTAACTTCTGCAATATATTAGATAAAAGTAACGGGTACCTAAAAATTGAGAAGCTAATTGATATTATTATGATAACGTAATAAAAAAAGCAACAAACTAGAAATAAGTAAATGGATCAAAGGCTAAATTAGTAAAAAAAAGCTTAATTATAAATACTAATCTTGGGGATATAACATAATGATAATCGAGAAAGCCATAAATTGAATGTTGCATAAAGTTTATCATAAATTTTTTTTTTGAAATATTTTTTTTTTATATATATAAATATAAATTATTTCTCGATTTTAACCACTTGTTCCTTGTTAGTATTTTTTTTCCTCTTTCTAATTGTATTATTTGTTTTTGTTCTCAGGAAATTATTGTCGTTCATATTAACAAACACTGAGCCGGCTGGTTTGTGTTTAATATAAGTTTTGTCTTTATGAAAATTAATCTGCAGTTTTTTTAATTCCGAGGCAAGTTCTTTATAATTTTCACGATCTTTTTGACTAGCTTTAATCCACATTTCGCTAGCGACCTGCGTAAAAAATACTCCATCTTTTACAAAATCTAAAAGTTTTTGTTGTACTATTTCAAGATAAACGACATGTCTAAAACAAAAAAAACAATTCATCGCTCTTCTAGGTAAACCTTCTTTATTTAATTCTGTGACCATTATTTCTTTCGCTGAACGTTTTGGTGGAAAAATATTTGTATAATCAAGTTTTTTAATAAATTCAGTTATTTCGTTTGATTCATTATTAGATAAATTTTCCACTAAAAAAGCTATAGACATTCTTTGAAAAGAAGTACTTGATTGTTGTGGAGTTTGTTCAATAATTGATTTATCAACAGTTTGTTCAGATTGAAGTTGTTTTTTGTTTATAATTTTTTTTTTCTTTTTAATAATATTATTATTTGGTTTTGTTTTTTGTAAGCTAATGTTATTGATATTAAATACTGGACTAGTTGAAGGTTTTTTTCTATTATTAAAAGATTTATCCTTATGACAATTAATTTGTAACCTTTTTAATTCCAAAGAAAGTTCTTTATACTTATCACGATCTTCTTGACTTGCTTCATTCCACATAACGCTAGCGACCTGTGCGAAAAACATACCGCCTTTTATAAAATCCAAAAGTTCTTGTTGTAATACTTCAAGGTAAACGACATGTCTAAAGCAAAAAAAACCGGTCATAGTTCTTTTGTTGGATAATCCTTCTTTATCTGTATCTGTAACCATTATTTCACTCGCCGAATATTTAGGTGGAAAAATGTTCGAATGGTCTAGTTTTTTAATAAATTCGGTTACTTCATTTACCATGTCAATTTTTTTGACATGTTCAATTTTTTCTTCATTATTATTCCTTATAAAAAGAGCCATAACCATTTATATTTTTTAAAAAAAAAGTTTTTATTTTTTTTTTTTTTTTTTAAAAAAAACACAATTTTTTTTTAATGAAAATAAATATTTATCTATCTTTTATTTTCACAAGTGAATCAATTATATTAAGATATAAAAAGGTGATACAATGTATTTTTTATATTTTTTTTTGTTTTTACAAGGAAAAAAAAATGTCGGAAAAGGATTATCCAAATTTAGATGATTTACAACTTTTTTTTTTTT